TCTCGGCGTCCTATCTCTGGTGAGCTTTCTTCTGCTGCTGTTTAAGGCCTTTGCTTGCTGGAAGTAGAAGATATAACTCACCTGGACAACGACAGAGTGATGGTTCAAGAAGGCTGGATGAATGATCGACGAATTATTTCATTAGCCACAGGGAAAGACTACTCCATGGCCCACAGGAGGAGGCGCCCTTCAATTTTCCTTGGCCGTTGCAATGGCAGAAGATGCTGTAGGAATGATGTAGAAGAAAGTGGTGTGTATAATCTGACTCCAACCTCTTGGATTCATGCGATTTTGTTGGGGCTGAAGCTGACTCATTGATGGACCGACTGATTTGGACATCGATTCAGAATCGAAATTCTGGCGCACTTACGCCGTCCTCTAGGTGATTACGCTGCTCAGTCTAGGCACTACTTCTTGTAACTTTTTTCTGACAATTAAGGGCAGTTGCTTTCTTAGACTTCTATTTGCATCATCGTTAATTATTGTACATTTGCAGTACAGGAGCTGGGGAAGACACTGCTCGCGGAAGACGGTCGTGCTAAGAGGCGTGCCCCGATGTCCGAGGGTGGGGACAGGCCTGCTCATTAAGATGACGACGTGATTTTTGGAATTCAGAAGCGGCTTTGATGGGAGGTAAGAGTTGAAAGGGGAGCACGCCTGAGAGACGAGAGCTTCCTTGTGCAAGTTCAGTTGTGATGCGGACTCTGCACTGCTCTGCAGGTATACTACTAACTTATAAATATATACGAGAGCTCCTTTTGAAATAGTATAGTAGCGCAAACTCCTCGGAAGGAACACGCGACCAGAACGAGCTGTACGCATGATCAAGAAACAGCTACAGCAACTTGCTGTCTTGGCCCAGTTCTTCTACTATTGACTCCTATACCATAAATCTGGGTACAGTTATTTTTTCGCGGAACTTGGCACAGCCAATTTCTCACTGTCGAGATTGGACCTCGCGCGAGTGGAAAGTGATTTGCTGGACGCCTTCGCAGACTGCTTCTTGGAGCGGGAGAAGCAACGAAAGACAAGCAGAATGAGGAGCAATTTTGGCGAACTTATGGACCTGCTACTTAGTTAAAGGAACCTCACTCAGGATATACAGGCCTGCAATTCAGAAGCACTTCTTTCAGAAGAACTTCATGCAGAAAACCTGCACTCAGAAGAACTTCATGCAGCAAAACTGCACTCAGAAGAACTGCACTGAGAAGAACTTCATTCACAGCATGGGCAGGAAGCAATAGAGGTCCAGCCTGTAACTCAGAAGGATGTCACTCAGGAGAAGACGAGGACGAAGCGTCTCTTTGTGGTACGTCGAGCAGTATCATAGACCAGCTCTACAGAGTAGCTCTTTTCCTGATGGGGCTGAGGTCGATGTGTGTATAGACTACACTAGGGACCACCAACTGGTAGGAGTGCGAACGCGTAAAAGGCGTTGGCATGGATCTAAATTGAATTAAAACGAGATAAAGTCAGAATTCTTTCGAAGATTGAAATTGAATTTGCGTCATTTCTTCTTGATCCTCGAAAAGTATTCAATTTATCTCATCTTTTCCAGATTCATTTTCTGAGGGTCTATTCTTTGTCGGCTTCTACAGATGTTGGACTTGGTCAGTTTTCTTAACTCTTACAGCCAATTTGGAGTCTATATGGGTTCAAGATTCTAGAAAAGCTGAATCATTGAGAGTGTCATCATAGGCACAGACTCAAAAACTTAGACTATGAAAGCTTCAGACTCTTGGAATTCTAGGCTTTGAACCTTTAGAAAGCTAAGCCTTTCGCGATGCATGCGTCTAAGATGTCATACCATCCAAATTTGAGACTTTCAAGCGCTTTAGATTGTCAAGATGTCATATTATCAACAGGTTGAGACCTCCAAATGTTTAGACTTCGAAGATTTCGGACTTTTGACCTTCAAAAAGCTAAGTTTCTGAAGGTTCAGACCTCTAATAAGCTATCTTTTGACTAGTTCAGAAATCGGGTTCCTTTTGCAGCTTACAGGAAACAGATACCATATTTGTACCAGGCAGGTGGAATAGTATACTGCTCCTACCTTAATAGCCTGCGTGCGAGTCATCTAGCTCTAAGTCCACGAAGAACCCCTGCGAGAGGTTCCTTCGCGAGTGAGTAATAGCACGACAGGGTTGATGTACATCCACGGACATAAATCACATCGGGACCAGGAAGTCGGGACATAGTGGGATGCGCAGTTTCGCAAGCAGTAGGCCTTATTTCGCAGTGCAAACGGGTTCCCAATCCAACTCAGCAATATTAGGGATATTGCGCGCGAAGCTAAGCTTCTACCTATCTACTCAGAATCGGGATTAAGCCCAACTAGAGTGTGAGTTTAGTTCTACCGCGAATGTGAAAGGAGACCGATCGTGGCCTGTAGGACACACATAGAAGTATTGACTTAGACTGACTCTACTCGAAACGACGCACAGTACGTGGTAAGAGAGGCTTCGCTCTAAAAAAAAGAGCCTGACCTTAAGCAAAGAATCCTGTCTGCCGTGGGCCTTCTATTATGACATGGATTCCCTACTTGTGGTCGCTACGGAATCAGGCAGCTCAGGTTGCCACGTGATTCGTTGATGGGTGAGTGAATTGGTCTAAGACTGGCACGACGGTGATTTGTGACAAGACGACTATCCACGAAGAGCTTTCGCAGTTGGAAGTGTAGGAAGTTAAGAAGGAAGGAATTGTTTGGGTGAAGCTGTAAGCGACGTCAAGAGAAACAAGGACACCAAGAGCAAGAGGCACAGAGAATGTATTTGCGTTTGTTATATCAGGAGCTGTCTCTTCTATTCGTCAAGAGGCAGGTTTCTTTTTACAAGAGACAGTCAGTAAATTGCGGACATCTTCTCGAGGAAGTGCCCGTTTCTCGAGCTGCTGACGAAGAGGATTCAGACTTAGCTTTCTATTTCTTCTACAGCAATAAGTACTTTCCAAGAGTAAAGAGCGCGCACCTTCGTCACGAAAGGCGATATCAGGAGTCAATGCATGCGTTTACTTCAACTGGATGTGCGAAGGGGGGAGCGACTTTTTGCTTAACTACCGACTTGTCGACTTACCCATTTCTCTATCTGCCTAGTACTTGTCTACAGCTAGTGCCGACTTGTCTAACTACCTATTTGTCTACAGCTTATTTACTTGTCTATCCATATATCATCCGCTTAGAGGCGTCTTGGAAGTGCGGAGGGAGCACTACTTTTTTCTTGAAGTTTCTGATTTTCGAAGAGTTGCGCATCTACGACTTCTTAAAGCTTTACGAGACGTAACGGGGCATCCGGGACTATAAGAAAGGGAACTGCTATAGAGTGGCTTGTCTTGGTCGTGAAGGTTATTACTCGAGGATAACAAAGGGCACTTTTCACCATACAGTATAGGGTGGCTTAGTTGACTTGGTCAGCAAGGTTCCTCCTCGACGATATTTGCTTGTCTTGGTCATGTCAAGGGCCTAGCTCTTGTGGTGGAATAAGAAGGGCTCGCACTTCTAGTTCCAGGGTGGCTTGTTTTGACTTGGGTAGAAGTTTTTCTTTTGGTGTCTTTTTGGTTGAGGAAGATGATGTCATCGACATCACATGTTGGCGCATCATCCGTTGGCGCCTTCTTGGTTGAAAATTTACAGCAGAGGTTGACGCCTTGCAGAGGTGAAAATCTACAGCAGAGGTGGGAATTGTCTGGATTCCGGGAGCGAGGTGGAGTCGAAAGCCCGCCTGCGCGCAGTGAAAAAGCTTGAACTCATTTTCGTGAAATTGTGGTGGCGGTGAGTAGTTTTTTCAAGGTACAAGAACTGCGAGTGCAGGTAGTACACTCGGCGCCGGTATATGTGAGCTTTACGAGGGGAAGTAGTTTTTTCACGAATAGATGACAACGACCACGGGATCACAGCTAGGGCGCTAGGAGCCTGACGATTCTCCTATGAAAGCAACTACCAGCACCTGAAGCCGTCTAAGAAATGATAATGCCGGGCTGCCCTCCTCACTGACGAAGCCACTCTGGAGATTTGGCCAAACTTTGAACATCCAAGTCTGAGTTTGAAAGTAGAGCCTCTAAATTTTCAGTTTTACGCCATCTTTTCCGAATTCATTTCCTGACGACTGCTCTTCGTTCCTTTTGTTTGGTATTAGTCTTGTTTTAGTCTAGACTTCGTGTGAGTTTGTTCGCTTGTTCTAGAATTTCACAAAATTTTCAGTTATATCTCATCTTTATCGAATTCAATTCCTGACGTTCGCAAAGAATCAGGTAAGACTTCTCCAATTCTTTGCTTCTCTTGGGTGCCAGTAGATGCATGATCATTTTTCATCCTTTCAGGCCGATGCTGCCCATTGTGGCAAGGTGTATACCTGTACTGTATTCTCACTGTATTCTCCTCAAACGATATACGTCTATTCTCCTTTCTTGCGTGTAAAGTAACTGTAAAGTCGTGCTTAATGTGAACAAAGCTGTGCTGGAGCAGCGTTGAATATATATTAACAGCATCTATCTATCATGAGGTACTTCGAGTTCGAAAGTCGCGTGGTGTGGTGGTCTTCTACTCGGTGATGTCGATCCTGTAGGATGTAGAAGATCTCACATACTCTCTGTTGATCGCGATCATCGTCTCTTGCTCTTCATGTGATGGGCGATGGATCATTTCACGTCCTTGATCGGAGGAAACGAAAAAGGCAGCACGAGCAAATTCGGCGGTTATTAGGTTGTCTAGTATGAACAACAAGATCATTTGCTCGCCTGCTTCTATGTATTTGTTGCCACGTCATTCTCATTGTATAATTAAACGAGTAATTGTTCATCTTGCTTGGTAAATCTAGATAATTGTCCACATTCACGTTCACACTCGCTTTCCTCGCGTTGACCTCTGTTCACACTCAATACATCCGCATCTTGAAGTAGACTAAAACAAGACGTCGATCCGTATAGGCTCGGAAACGAGCACATCAGATTTTGGGGCAGAGGTGGATGAGCTCCAAAATTTGTCCTCTTTTATGGAGTTTGACTCCTCTCCCTCTCCTCCACGTCGATGCAGCACCGACAAGCGGCGTCGATGTGCTGAGGGGTTGAAGCATTTCGTTTTTACATGCCAGCCTCCTTATTTACTTGAAAATAAGACTGCTACTAGTTGAAAAAGTGAAAGGCTTCAACCTTTATTAATCTACGTTGAGTACAACTATGATAGAGAGCAAGACTGAAATGTTCAAGAGCAGGCAACAACGGGAAGGTGAAGGAGGTCCTGCCATGATTCAGAGAGTAAGAGGACATACAGGGCTTACCCTAGTCCATCGTCTGAAGCATCCATCCCGGCGAGGAGCCTTTTCTTCCAACGGGAAAAGGGGAGCAAGATGCTTCTCAAGATGGATCAGGGTGAGGTCTAAGACATCACAGTTCTTGTAGTACGTCAAACTACAATTTGGCGGGCCGACGAACTACAGCGACGTCGCTTCTGGGTACTGATGAGGACCTTCGCAGGAATGGCCTTTCCGGAAATAAAGGTGGTAGAGAGTCCTCAATTTTCCTGGATACGGAAAATCCTTAAGGCCAGGATGATACTACAGAAAATCAACAAGAGGCTACAGAAATTCAACAAGTAGAAGGCTGGAATTGGTCCCATCAATGGTGCAAGTAGAAGGCATTGGTCCCATCAAAGGCGCACGTAGAAGGCTAGAAGGATAGTGCCGGTCTTCTAAAAAATGACAAGGCGAGAGACGCAGCACGACGGTTAGTCAGGCCTGGAGCGATGTTTCTAGTCGCATCATTAGCAAGAAAAACGCTGTGCTCGATGACGATGCTGAGGAAGAAGAGTTGGTGCCTGCACTACCTGGGAGAGGAAAACGAAAACGTGAGATGCTTTCTGGTATGGAGCTTTCGAGCTTCGTCGATCTGGAAGCCAAGAATGAGGAGCATGAAGACCAAGACTTCTTGGGTAGAAATACAACTGCAATTCTTGGCTCATCTTCAAGGAAAGTCGTTGACGACAGAGACGCATGCATGCATCTTGGTTCATCAAGCAGTGACGAGGATGGAGGAGGGGAGCATCTTCTGCCTTGTCAGGTGAGGACAAGAGCAGGCGGAGATGAAGATGGCCATGCTGAGGATGTGATCTCCGAGGATCGGGTGCTGGAAAAATCATCCAAAAGAAAGCCTTCTCTTCTTAGTCGTGGAGGTGCAAGGGCGTCTTTGTTGGAAATGGAGGCTCAGGAGCCCCGTGGGCGATCGTCGTATTCCGCTTGTTCGGGAAGTAAAGATAGAAAAGAGGATGCCAGGACCTACAAGCAGATGGGCCTGGACAGTATTCCAAGATGGGCTTTCGATTCAGCTTTACATCTACGACGACATTGGCGAGAATTGTTGTTCCTGTTCCTCCTGCAGATCTCGCTCTTTCTACTCGTCTACGTAGTCGCGTCATGTCTTCTCGCGTCAGCATCTCTTTCTTCTGGTGCAAAGAGCAGCACTTCTGACGGCGACGACTTACAGCTATTCAAAGCAGCAGGGGAAGATGAAGCTCCACAACGAGTAAAAACAACATCTACAACAACTTCAAAAAGCGTCAACATGCAAGTTCCTTCAGCATCCTCTTCTAGCTCTTCTTCGAGGATCACTCTCAGTAGTTTCAAGATTCCCTCACCAGCTACTTCAGCATCTTCTGGCTCGTGGATCATGAATAGCGGGAGCAAGAATGCGGCGACGAACACTCGTTCCATTCGTTCCATATTTAAGTAAGCAGGGTCCTACTGTCAAGGTCGTCGACCCATCTTTCTCTCACAGCATTAATTAGCCCGTTTCTACTTGTTGTGAAAAGTCGTGCTGAAAGATGTTCCAAATGTCAAAGGGTGCAGGGCATCGCATAGTCTAGGAGCTGGTATGCTAGCTAGTGTTAGACTTCATGGAATGGAAAAAAAGGAGGGGCTGTCTGCACTGTACTCTGTGCCAGATTTATAGCATTGTGTTGCATCGTCCTTGTCGTTGCGTCTAATATACTGCTGAAAACGATAGCGCAATTTGCGAGTGCCTTCGCCACTCTCGTGGATGGAAGCCGAGATATGCGGGACACTGCGCCCCAATACAGCTTTATGTGTACATTACATTCGGCGACACTGGTAGTTTACGTAGTGTAGCGCAGTAAAATCTGTGGAGTTAGATTGTCATCATTATGCTGACATTACATTGATTCTAGTTTGTCTGTCCATGCTCACCTTGCTAGAGTAACTAGGAGTAGCTACTATTACCGTACTAGTATTGCGGAGCCTTAATCACAGTCATCCTCACAATGATACTTCATTCCATTGTCTTCATTCTATAACAGGATCAACTTCACCTTCACCAGTCGAATAAATTCGAATCATCAATATTCCGCTCCTCCAAGAAGAAGGCCCAGCACTTGTTCTAAGAAGGTCTGGGCGGATAATTTCAAAACTTTGAAGATGCATCTAAGGTCTCGCGTAGTAGAGGAGCGGCTGAAGAGGGAGCGGCCCTAGAGGAGATGCCTTTCCTAGATTCGCTTCAGAGTGGCAATCGAGTGCAGTCTGGAAAACTGCATTCAGACGCGAAGTACACTTGTGGAGTTGCGTACCAGTGGACGGCTCCCCTTAGAGAGCTGCAGATCTGTCATTTACGGCAGTAGAAGAGAAATAGACTCAACGGCAATGATCCTCTTCTTCCTTACTCAATTTGGAGGTTGAGATCCACGAGTAGAATACGAAGTCAAATGATAGCGTTTAGTTCACGTGGTTCATTCATCTCAATACCCTGAAAAAGTCTGGTTTACTTACGTCTTCGGGCAGGGAGGAGGAGAAGTATCGACTCAAATGAACTTGATGTTGATTTACTAAATTTTGATTAGTAGAAGTGAAATTAGTGCGGGCATCAAAGAGGAGGTGGGATGTCACAGTCACTAGTTCTAGCAAGTTAATGATAGACTTAGATAGTATAACTTCTCGTGCTTTCGTCCTCCGATATGTGATCAAGTTCTCTTTTCTTGCTCTAAGTCCTCGATGCGTGGGAAACCGTGATCATAGGCAGAAAGCGTTGCTGGATATCACATTGAAGCGCTTTGAGGAAGAGGAAAGTGGAAGAAGCACAATCGTGGTCGAAAACTGGACCTCAGCGACTGACTACGACCCTAACTACATGAAGAGGCTGCCTTCAACTAGAAGCGGACAGCTGCTCTTCGTGCGTCGTGACCAAGATCAGCGTCCTTATGATTTTTCTAGGTGAAGAAGCTGCAGCTGCCTATGCAGCCTAGTACGTAGCTGACACAAGACTCAAAGCGTCACTTTTTACCTCCTCGCAACTTACATAATCGACACCAGCTACTGAGTGACTAAGAGCCAAAGACCGCAAGGAGAAACTTGCAAGTTATTCTACTTGGTAGAGGAAGAAAAAAGTTGCTACTAAACGAGGAGAATTAGGCTGCTTGCAAGACAGCGACTCTTCATTACATCGAGAGAAAGATGATCTGAATCGGCTCCGGATTCTTGTGCTGTTACCCCTGAGCTAGTGAGCCAGTGTTTTACTTCAGGGAATGCCGATACTAGTGCTATTGCCCCTCAGTTAGTGAGTCAGTGTTTTTCAGTGGATGCAGATACTAGCGCTATTGTCTCTGAAATAGTGAGTCAGCATGTTACAGAGGATACAGACGGATGCCAGTGCTGTTACCCATGAGATAGTGAGTCAGTATATTGCAGAAGAGACAGATACTGGCGCTACTAAGTCTAAGCTTCAACTGATTCAGTTTGTCAGTAGCTCGCTGTTGGTTTTCAAATCAAAAGTGCTATGATATCAATGCTCACTGTGCCTTCTATCGATGGCACTTGGTGACATTGTAGGGCATATAGTCCTTCAAATTGGTAGGAATTTGAGAAACGTGACAGACTACTTGAGAGAAAACAAACGAAGACTAGCTTTGATTGTCAAGCTCACTATCAGGAATTAAATTCAATCAAAACAGAATAAAACTGAAAATTCTTGGATATGTCTCGAAGTTTGGAGATTAGTTCTGAATTCGAATTCGAAACTTGACGACTCTGAGAGGTTCCCTATGTTAAGTGATGTCAGCCTTATGTGTCAAGTTTTAGATAGTGCAGCTCTCCATTAAGGTTGAGCTCGAATTTCATCAGGAGATAGCTTTCTGCTGATTTGAGGTTAGATAGTTTGAGTGATTCTTACTGTAGCTGTAGGACCTCTTTGGACTTAGGTGTCTCTACGTAGGCCTCTCACTATCTCTACTGAGTCCCCTCTTGCTATATGCGTCCGCATTTCGTTCTTCGCGTCGTTGTCTTAGTAACTAGCTCCATTGTCCTCGTCCTGATAGCCATCAGCACAATCCTGATGATTAGCTGGATTTCCATAGGCATAGAGGTCATCCGGACTGTACTCTTAGTCACGTTTCTCGGCATAATAATCAACGACGTACTCGTCCTGTTTTTTACGATACGCGTTATCATTACAGCCATCTAGACTCCAGCACCCTCTTGTTCCTCATTACGATTCTTGCTAACTACTTGATCAGCGTCATACATTCGTGATCCCCTTTATTGACTTCATAAGCGGCAAGGCGAGCCAGAAGATCGCGTTGCGGTGTTAGACCAAGGAGGCCCAGTCCCCGTACTAGATGGTGAAGGACAGGAGTCGCCCTGTCAGCATGACGAACGAGTACAGGAGTCGCCCCTTGGTGAAATTGGAAATCATGGCGAAGACAAAGAAGAGGAAGATTTGGCACAGCTACATGTAGATGAAGACGTAGCGCAACAAGATGTAGTGGATGCTGAAGTACCTATTAGTACATCAGCATCAGACTCGCATGAGCATAAAGCGGAGCTCCTCTGTGGAGCAGAGGGACCCCACCGGGCTACAGCGCGGCACATGCTACACATTCCTCAGAGATTCGCTTTTGGTAGAAGTAGAGGCTTCGAGACGTTGGGGACGGCTGGAGGGCAGGCGAGTGGAGCAAGTCCAGCTTCATCAGGACGAACAGCGTTTCTGGGCCAGGACAACATCAGCGACCATTTTTCTATCTCCTCTTATGGCGAGATGAAGAAGAGTCAGAATGTGTACGCAAGTGCAAGTGCTGCAGGTCGATGAGATGAAGAAGTGCAGCATCATGGAAGAGGTCCCTGCGATCTTGATTCTTGTGTTAGAAGTAAGGATATGTGTCATTCAACTGCAAACGCTTGGTGTTGGTGCCAGCAACTTTTACAGGTTGTTGAGCAGTACTAGCTAGAGTAAGCTGCAGACGCAGATCACCAACACGGCGAAGCATGTAGCAAAGCGTGAACTTCGATGACAATGAATCGGCTTTCTTGTCTGTTAGTAGTAGGACAAGCATCAGCTTCAGTTCTTCGCTCAGGTCTTCTTCATTTTTCTCGTCTGTCAGTCCTGGCTTCACTATCTGATAGTAGATCTAGCTGGATTCTTGTTGTTCTACCGTACAGCTATAAAGTAGAGCTCTTTGATGTTCTTCATCAATCTATCTTCTAATTGGCGACTTCTGCGCCTGTGTCGACATTGATGGAGAAGCAACAGCGCGAACTCAGTGAGCACCGAGCTCGTACTACGACGCTAGTACGGAGACCCAATCTCTTAAGGCTGGCGACTTCGTCTCCTCGTTGGAAGAATAGATACATAAGTAGTCGGCACTGACTCACAGAATCGACAGTCAAATAGCTGGTAATGGTATCGCTGTGCATCTTCGTTCGAGTTGCTTGTTGTACATACTCACACAGGATATCGCTCTCATCGATCTCAGTTGGTACTGACTTAGTTTGTAGTCCTCCGTAACCCATTGCGAAGTGTTTGTCTTCATCGATGTCAGTAGTCATCTCATCGTCGGACTTCGTTTGCCAGTAACTCCAACTTATTGAAGTGAGCCATAAGATTCAGACTCAGCGTGTCACTATCTCATCGAAGTGAACCATACAGCGCGACGTAGGACGAGTTTGTCGTAGGGTCGTCCTATGGTATGTAGGGATGCCTTGATGTAGTCACACTGTATCTCAGTACTATGATTTTTCTTCACTTTTGAGCCCTCTAGTTTTAGGCACAATCATCCTTATCGGGGTGCTTAGATATCAAAAGTACTCACTAGGTAAAGACTCTTCATTACATTGATTCGCACACAGTCTAAATCTGATCTGGATTCTAGTGCTATTAATTAATACCTCTGAGCTAGTGACCAAGTGGTTTGCAGAGGATACAGATACTAGTGGTAGTGCTATTACCTCCCTAAAAGTAGTGAGTCAGTATATTGCAGAAGGTACGGATACCACTGGCGCTATTAACACTGAGGTAGAATTGCCTGACTCAGTTTGTCACCGTCTCACTTTTGGTCTTCATGTCAAAAGTGCTATGATGATATCAGTGGTCGCTGTATGTTCTTCTATATTAGTTGGCATTTGGTGACATTACAGAGCATAATGCCCACTGTAGTCCTTCATATTGATATATATTTTAGAAAAGTGACTGATTTGAAAGAAAGCAGTTGAAGACTAGCTTTATCTGTCAAGCTCACCCTCAGGAATTGAATTCGATTAAAACAGAATAAAACTGAAAATTCTTGGATATATCTTAGAGCTTGGATATTAAGTCTAAACTCAACTTCGAAACTTCGAGATTCATCTTTATGGTTAGTGATATCCTCAATTCTCAATGTTTCGATGTTATAGCTGTCAACTCAGATTGAAGTTCATCACTTTAGGCATCTCGTTCGTGTTTTGAGCTTAGTTTTAGAATCTCTTAGATGTTTAGAATCTCTTAGGTGTTTAGAATCTCTTAGATGTTTAGAGTCTCTTAGATGTTTAGAGTCTCTTAGATGTTTAGAGTCTCTTAGATGTTTAATCGAGCCTCTTAGACGTTTAGAATCTCTCAGACGTTTAGAGCCTCTTAGATTGTCGTTTTCATGGTCTCTTAAGCCTTTAGTATGGGCATCTCTTGTTGCTTAGATATTTAGTCTTGCTTCATAGTATGATCAGACTATCTTCTCTTAGTTACTGGAGAGTAACTCTACTTAGAAGATCTTTTTTGGTCGTAGTTCTAAACCTCGGGCATCAAACGCTGTACCCACTAGATGACGTTCTGCCTAATGGGAGACACGCAGGCGACGTTTCACACGCTCCAGCTCAAGATGAAGAATCCCCAAGCATCCCCGCGACGGCGTTTCCGAATAGAGGAGGTTATGGCGATGTTTCTCCGATGAGGTCAAGGGGAGGTAAGGAGTATCATGTTCAACAAATATATGTTGAATACCCTCCTCGTCGAGGTCAAGTAGCAGGAGCAGAAGCAATTGCAGGTGGAGGAGATGCTCAACAAGAATACTCTCGTCAAGTAGAAGCAGTTGGAGGTATTGGAGCTGGAGCTGCGTACCATCAGGATGTTCTTGAATCATCTGCAGTTCGTTTCGACGTTTTTCCCAGGAGGCCCTTTCTTGACGAGCATGGGGGTGAGGACAAGTACTTCACAAGTCCTCCGTTCAGGAGAAGAGAAAAAGAGAGGACGGCCACTAGTTCGACAACGTCAGCAGCATGTTGCCTGACACGAAGCAGAATCTCTCAAGTAAATGAGTTTTCAAGACATACACCGGGGAAACGAGGAATGCAAATGCAAAGTAAGAGGACACGCACACAAACTGCCCTACTTTGTAGAGAAGTGTTTCTATCCTCCCGTGGAGTCATGCTTCTAAGTTTCCTAGCAAAGACGTCGACACGCATCGAGCTCAAGTGCAGAGCATTCGAGACCTCATCTTCGGCAAAACGTAACGTGTGCCGTAGTGATGAATAATGATAATGATTTATAAATGCATTGAAAAAATAGATTCATCAAAAAGTTTCTTATGGAATAAGCATTTGTGCAGTTGTGCGCAAGATCTGAGATGATTTGCATTCAAGTTTTCAAGAGCCAAGTAGCCGTCGTTCTGTTTCGTAGTAGTCATTTTTTTACAACTGTCAAAATACAATTCCCTACGTCCTCTAAGGTTGATTTTTTCGAACTTTCTTTGCATAGTCAGTTTCAATATTTCCGAGAAAAATGTACGAAGTGAACGTAGCGTCGTGGAGTAAGTGATTACAAGTGTGTAGTAAGTGATTACAAGTGTGTAGCTTTCAAGATGGTCTGGGACTGACGCAAAAGGCGTCTTTCTCCTACCGCCTCAGAGCAAGTAGGCGCCGCTTTATGCATCTTGCAAACCGATCTTCGATTTGAATACTTCTAATGATACGCGTACCTTGTACTAGTTCTTCAAGCAGCACGCTTGAACACGACTTACAACTCTTTTTCACCACGCAACATTGAGTACTTTTTCGCATTTTTTTCAACACCTGAACGCAATTGAATTGGGGGATGAATATCAAAAACATGCTCTCACGACACGCGCACACTTAATAAGAATGAATCCTTCTGCGCACACTTAATAAAAACATGTTGGGAGCCATCCACATCCAACTGGCTTTCTGACGCTTCTGTATCTACTTGAAGCCGCACTTGGGCCCGGATTTTCACTTGGTGACGGCGGAAATAAAGCAACCTATCCCACCTGAAATGGCTAGTTTGTGGAAATGGCTATCATTTATTGAGTAGAACAAGCTTAATATAGTGAGTGGGCAGGAGCGAGTGGGTAGCCCTTGATAAATGTGCATAGTACGTAGCATAGTAGGTGCTGAGAGACGCAAGAGAGTAGAAAAGGAGATTCACTGTAATTTTTTTACGAATGAAAAAAATGGTGCTGAGAGAACGCGGAGAAAAATAGGTGGATCATAGGACCACTTCATCTACTGCAAAAAAGGCGTATCAGCCAAAGTACTTTAAGTCTTTCATGCAGGTATTTCCCCAAGTTCGAGTTGTAATCTCCCCCAGTTCTTTTCCAATTCGTAATTCGTCAAGTCCTTCCGCAACTTGGATTCTTTGTTCGTTATGTTAGACAGTAATTATATTACTGTAGTACTAAAACTGTGGTGTGCTGGGGCTTCAGGCTACAGTATCTTCTTCTTACAGTAACTGATTATTCATTGATTATTGCCACTAGTAAGAGTAATCAGCTGAAAAACAAAATGTCGGCACCATCCGGAGATGTCACAGATGTGGATAGCATCTGGGCGGAGATGCTGGCAGAAAAAATGCCTGCGCGCAACACACGTCCAGTGTCTTTGGTAAATTTTAACGCTGCTGTTGGAACCAAGAAAACAACGAAAATTAAGGGAACTAGTATACAATTGTTACATTGGGGTCTGGGGTATCTACTAACCTATACTATTCTACAGTGACACTAGAAGAATCAGAAGTGAGGTGGAAATTGTCGAATTGATATCCAGTGGTAAACAATAAAGACACTCACAGAGCTTTGGATAATATGGACGGGTTTCAAGCTACTCTCAGTCTCTGGTTCAACGAGAGCTTCTGTATTAAAGAAGAGGGCTTACAACGAGTTCTGAACCTACCACCTTTAAGAAAGAGGCGAAACAGTTCAAGTTGCAGGGAGGTTATGGCTCTGTCGGGAGCTCAGTTGAACTCGGTGATGATAAGCCTGCTGGGGGTAAGAAAAGTGAACAGAAAGCGGCAGTGAGTGGTACTGCAAAACAAGATGCGACTGGTCATTATGATGTAGGTTGCCTTGTAGACTTAGCGGGGAATGGTGAATCTTTGTGGAGAATGCGTTTCGAATCTCCAAATCCACCTTAGTCAGTGACTTGAAAAAAGGTCAAGATTATAGGTTCCTTCCCTTTTTCTAGTTTGGGCTCCATTGGAATGATGGGTTCTTGGTCGCGGACGACTGAACTTACAGAAAGCTGAGAATACGCTCTAAATCAAGAAAGAAAGAAAGCCAGTGCTTGGCTCAGGTGGTATCGCGTCATTGATGGCTACAACGAAAAGTGCGATTGGGGCAAAGAAGGCAAGGGAAACTGATTTCGCTTGGTTGCAAAATTACGGTGTTGCTGCAACTGGTTTATGTGAAGATTCTGATACTATGTATAGATAATGACAATCTAATTGGATTTGTCGAATGTGGCAAGTTCTGAACTGAAAGAACTAGTGCCCTTTGTGCTTGTAAGTCGTTAGAGCGTGAGGGTACACGGATTTATCACCAACCCAGCGCGGTATAGTCACCTGGAACGCCTACCGATTCTGGCATTGTCTATCCTATGATTGTTTCCACTTTCATTCTGTAGCGAAGATAGCAGTGCTAAAGGGCTGGAGCCTCAGTTTGAACCGAT